CATCTTCGACAAGTTCTCAGAGCGTTGAGAGATGCAGGTCTCAAGTTGAAACTTTCAAAGTGCCGCTTCTTCAGCAACAGCGTTTTGTACTTGGACCACAAAATTTCGGCTACAGGAATCGGAACCGAAGAGTCGAAAACAGAAAAGGTCTCGAAGTGGCCACAGCCTCTAAGCGTCGAGGATCTTCGCTCGTTCTTAGAACTTGCCTCGTACTACCGGAAACGTGTTGCAAACTTTGCCGGCCTCACGGCCCCGCTTCACAAATTGTTGGAGAAGCAAGCTCAATTCGTCTGGACACAACAGTGCCAAGACTCCTTTGAAGAGCTCAAACAGCGCCTCACGAACTCTCCAGCTCTTGCGTTTCCAAATTTCGACCTACCGTTTATCCTCGACACGGACGCAAGTGAAAACGGTATCGGCGCTGTTCTATCCCAAGTACAGGATGGGAAGGAGAGTGTAATCGCCTACGGCAGTCGTACCCTCACGAAGCCTGAACGCCGCTACAGTGTGAGCAGGAAAGAAATGATGGCCCTGGTTTATTTCGTCCGTTACTTTAGGCACTACCTACTTGGACGGCGATCCACCTGCAGGACGGATCACAGCGCGCTTCAATGGTTACACAGCTTCAAAGAACCGGAAGGCCAAGTCGCCCGCTGGATTGACCAACTCAGCGAGTATGACTTTATCGGTTCGCATCGGCCGGGAAAACAACATGAAAAGGCAGATTCGCTGTCCAGACGGCCTTCCCCGGCGAATGAAGGCCAACATGTCGCGCTCATGACAGTTGCACAGTCTTCATTCACCATGACAGACCTTCGAGAAGAACAACGACGTGACCCGCAGCTTTCGCCCATCATCGATGCCCTGCTTGCAGGCACGCCGGCAGGAGATATTCGTCGATGCAGCGCGGGAGTGCTCTTCCGCAACCGGCAGAAGCTAAGGCTAGTCGACGGCTGCCTCATGTGGAAAAAAACACCGGAGTCAACCCCTGCTCCCGTGACCCCCGAGACATGGATACCGCTGGCCCTAGACTCCGTTCATGATGCACCGGGGGGCGAACATCTTGGGCGAGCCAAGACAATAAAGAAGGCCGCAGAAAGGTTTTTCTGGATTCGAATGGCACAAAGTGTAGCCGACTGGTGCTCGATATGTGTTAAGTGCTTCGCTCGTAAGGCACCAAACCCCACACCACAAGCACCACTGATTCAGGAAGCGGCCACCTTCCCTTTTGAGCGAGTGGCTATTGACATGACTGGTCCGTTTCCAACAACGGACAGAGGCCACAAGTACATCTTGGTGGTGAGCGACTATTTTACTCGATGGGGTGAAGCGTTCCCTCTGAAGACTCAAGAAAGCAAGGAGGTCGCCAATAGCATCGTCCACAACTTCTTCAGTCGCTAAGGGATACCGTCAGCACTATACTCTGACCAAGGCAGAACTTCAGAGAGCGACGTCTTTCAAGAAATGTGCTCAATTTTGGGCATCCGAAAAACGAGGACCTTCCCTTACCACCCCTAGTCGGACGGATTGGTTGAGCGATTCAATCGCACGCTGATGAACAGCTTGAGTGCGTACGTCAATGACACACAGACTGACTGGGACATCAAGCTCCCTCTCGTCATGACGTCCTATCGCTCGAGCGTGCATGAATCGACTGGTTACAGTCCTCATTATCTGCTCTTCGGTAGACACATAAATATACCAGCTGACAAGCTGTTCGACGTGCACGTCCATACTAACATGGCGTCGACGTCCAGTTATGAACCACACGCATCGCGCCTACTGACAGCATTACGAAGGGCTCGCGACGACGCAATTGTAAACGACATGAAAGCAAAGGATGCGCAGAAGCGCCACTACGACAGCACGGCCAGGGAAGAGGACTACGAACCTGGCGACAGAGTTCTTTTACATTCTCCCGCTGTGCCGCGAGGACAGTCCCTGAAGTTATATTTGCCATGGTTGGGTCCTTATGTAGTCCTTAAGAAGCTTCCTAACAACGTGTACAGAATCCAGGAAGAAACTGGAAAAGGGAAGCGGCGGGTTGTACACCACAACCGTTTGAAGCGGGTAGCCGATGGGAAGGAGCCAGTCTTGTTGCCTGCCAGGACGTTATCACACGTCACGGAAAACGACCTGCCTTTATCTGCAACAGCAGTCAAAAATTTTCCCCGATATAATCATCACAGAAAACAAAGATAACGACCCGACTCCTACTCGCCCAGCAGTCCCAGACTACCCAGACATAATAGACATCGAAGGTGATGATCTGTACGTCGATGCGGTCGAAAGTCTACCACCGGTACAAGCTGCTGAGGATCCGAACCTGGCCGACGCTCATCAGAACCCACCGCTGTTAGACATTCTCGACAGCGAGCTTCGCGTTGACGACCAAGTAGAAGAAAACGGGGACCAAGGCACTGACGGAAGCCAGCACAATACGCCACCAGCGAACGGTGCCGAACTCTTGGACGACGATCAACTTGCAGTCGTTCTTTTGCCCCCTGATGACGTCACCCCAACGGACTTGCCTGTAGACGTGCCACAACAGGCAAAGCCAGCAGAGCGATACCTCCTTCGGCCACGAGAAACATTGAGTCGACCCGCGCGGTATCGCGATTGACCGCCGAATTCATAGATGTCACTCCGAGTCATGCCAAGTGAAGGGCGACCCTTCACTTACAGATGGGCGGTTGAAGGGGCACTTCCACTTGAAGTGAGGTTTACCATTCTGAAATGGCACTTCGCTTTCACTCGAGCAAGTGAAGGGAGCCCTTCTACGGGATGCGTCCGGGAGCGAGAGTAGAAAAGAAATTAATATTTATACTTTGCGTAAGACCACAAAAGTAAGTTAATTCTTAGTGTGTTTACATAATTTGTGTTTATAAAGAAATATTAGCACATAACAAACATGTTGCGATTTCAGAAACGAACGTAGCTCGTGCATCTTCTTTCAAACTAAATTGGCCAGCAATATAGCCATCAATATCCATGCTGAATACATTCCAAGTCCTTCCGATATCCTTGTTCCAACGCCACCACCGCCGTTGCCTTTTCGTGTTTACTTGCCCTGCTGGTTTGTTCTTTTAAAGTTTTCATTTCCGTAGCGTGTAATGGATAAGGCCAAGGCACCCGCTGCGCGGTTCACAGAGATCGAAAAGGCAATACTGATGGAACTTGTAATGACGTACAAAAAAATCATCGAATGTAAAAAGACCGACGAATCGTCGTTAAACAAAAAAAAGGCAACTTGGATTCGACTCTGCAACGAGTATAACTGCAACCACGGTGTATATCGACGGGACGTGAAACAGCTAAAAAAATGGTGGGAAAATGTGAAGGCCAAAGCGAAGAAGGACCATTCCAAAGAAAAAAACAAGGTCCACAAAACAGGCAAGTCTCTCGTTCAGGTTTCTCATCGCGCTGAAAGTGCCTCGGAATGAGCGATGGGTCACATTTGTAGCCCGAACTGTCGGTCACAAATTCGCCCTTGTTTCGAACTGTTGTTTCTGGAATACCTGTCATGGGGGATGGAGCGTGAACGTGCGCAGACAAGTCGGTTATGCAACCTAATGCTGTCAGTTGAATACCGTAGTAACCTGACAATGGAGCAGCATGAACGGAACCGCAGCACGATATAATACTACCGTTAAATCAGTAATTCTACTTGCAGTTTTTGCGGCGGACATGTACAGTAGATCACAACTGACAACACCCAGATGCTCAATATTTCATTTCATTACGCATGGGGCAGAGGGGATGAACATTCCCTATCAGCAAATGCATGCCTATAAATCGGGGTATATTTAAAAAGGAAAACAGATCTTAGATAACATTAGAACTTGGAGTGCCTAGATTGACTACTGTTTGCTCCTTTAGGAGGGGGGCCACCTGGCAAGCCAATGAGCGCCACCTCCGTGCTGGTTGGGGCGGTGGCCTCACACGTGTTCAACAGACAGGAAAATATGGAGGACAGCGATGGGGCACCCTATCTGCCCCCGGTCTGCAGCCTCCCAGTTCTCCGACTACTGCAGCCGATGCTGGACGGCGAGGAGGACCCTCTTGATGCCGACTTGGGTAGAATGCTTGAACCGTTTCCATGTCTTGACCTGTACTTTCTAAACTGGTACCTTTTCGTCTTTACCCACTGATCTTCTCATGGATATGCATGGATACGGTTATAGATCATAATGAGTCTGCCTTCAGAAATGTTTCACCTGGTGTTCCTCAGTAGTACATACTGGCACCCCTACGTTTTTAAATAATCATGAATGACCTTGCAGCAACCATCTCATCTAATATTAACCTTGTTGCAGATGACTGCGTCGTCAATAACAAAGTAAAAAGTGTGCATGACAACATTCAATTTCAAGATAATTTAGTAAAAATGAACAAATGGTGCGAACAGCATGTACATTACTTATGTACAAGGTAACATATATCATTGCAGGGCTGGGTTCCATACAGCTTCAAAACAGTACATGGCAACTACTGCAGACTAACAATGACCATACTCCCCTGACAAAGAAACAAACAGCACAGGGTATTAAAATAATCATAGCATGATTTCTGCCAAGAAATATCTATACCAAGCACTCCAAAAGGTGGAAACGGTTAAGTGATCTAGTGGCCTAGTTTATGGCACAGGTTCAAAATGGATGAAAACATTGTTACACATTAGATCAGCAGCAGAAAAAAAAAATCAAATACTTCAAATTGCAACTGCATGAAAAACAAAAATACAATCTCAAACTTATAAAAACCCTTTCTACTCTTCATGTATGTCCCATTGTTCACTTCATAACTTCTACGTGTTCTTTCAATTGCAGAGGAGCCCGGTTCACCAGCTGGGCCTGCCTCAGACGTCGGTGCACCACTGTCACCAGCGGCTGCCTGCATCGCTGATAGACCTGCAGCAGCCCCAGCAGCTTGCCTGATTAGCCAGACATCTACTGCAGGGTCACCAGCTCCTACACCTGCGGATGCTGCAGCGTGCAACAGTGGTAGTGCGGCAGCAGCTGTGGGCAGTGGTGCCCGCCAGGTCGGAGGACGTATGGCGCTGCTGGAAAGGAGCCTCGCAGAGGAAAACGATATGAGGATGGCCTTTGTCCAGCAGGAGCATGCCCTGCGCTGCAACTTCCTTGAACAGGACCACCGCGACGCACTCAGCAAGAGAGCTGCGCTGCATGAAATGGAAATTAAATTGCGCGAGGACGAGCTGAAAAAAAGAAATGCCATTCACGAAATGGAGATGAAGCTCCTGTGTATCAAGGAAAACATACTGCTGCAGGAGCTGAGCCAGAAGGCTGCACAATAAATCATGTTCAAACTGCTATGCCTGCTTTACTGATGGTTCACTTTTAAAGTCAAACTGAAGTATCACACACTTGGAAGTACGACTCCTCACCTTCATGGCCTGTGTGATGGGCCTCTTGAGCCTACGTGCAGCTCACGTAAAGCTCAGCAGAATGATGTTCTGCCGGATACGCAGACCCGAAGGAGAGTCCTCCGGGAGAATCGGTGGCAGGTGTGGCTGCCGCCGCCTTCTGGCATTCCGTGCCCTGGGACTTGGTGGCGGGGGTGGAGGAGGAGGTAGGGGCTCATTTCTTGCACGTCCCAGATTATGCAAAGCCGCACACGCGGTGATGATGCTGCATGAGTGGCGAGTCTTGTGCTGGAGCCGCATATCCAAACAGGGAAATCGTCTCTTCCAGACCCCAAAGGCCCTCTCGACGGAGTTCCTCGTTCGGATCTGGGCCTTGTTGTACCTAAATCAAATTATAAGGCATGTGATCGATTTTTAGGCATCTGGGAACATACTTGCAATCACTGTATTTTCTTTTTCAGTATGGAAATAACAGGTTGACATTCTTTTGTCGAGGTTAGATATGTTTTATTGACAACTTTTCGTGCACGCACGGCTTCATGATACTGTTGACATCTCATGGAAACTTTTTCGTTCTTGCGACATTTCGTCGACAAACGTTTTCTTCTGCTAGGTGGATTGAATTTAGTGGTCGCGGTCGTCAAATCGTATGATTTTTTTTTCATTTGCCTAATGCTGAAAAAGAAAAATTAGACTGAATTTACTTTTTAGTGAATGAACCACCGACGGCGGGGCAAGCTATGTCTTAAACAGACCACACGATCACACCTCGCTTTGCTCCGCTCTGCTAGGGGAAATGGTTCATTAGCGATGTGCGCGACCAAAAGCGCCGCTGCGGTCAGCTTTCGACGATTGGCCAAACCGTGGGCATATGAGCATTGTCAGATTGTCAGCTTTGACGGTGTTACTTTCGGATTGCAATGACTCCTAGCTTCCACTGTGCTTTTTAAACACACCACCGAAGTCGTCGTCGCACCTGATGGTAAGTAGACAGGATAACAACTGGTGACGTCACGTCGAGGCAAATCCCACTCGTGACGTCACGGATGGAAACCATAACAGGGCGCCATTGAAACATCTCGGTGCTAAAATAATCTCAAGTTCGAGCTTGCACCAAGCCTTGTCGAAACCGCCAAGGGTTCGGCAAGGTAGGAAAGAACATTGGATATCGGCGAAGTGATCTGTCCATGAAACGCTTGAAGAACTGTTTGTCACCGGCAATGACTGCCTGCTATTACAGACATTAGTGATGTTGTCAGTGCAGTACCAAAACAAATCTTATACTTCTGCCGATGATTTGGCTTACCTCCCTCCGGGACTATTTGCCGCTCCAGGGTTTGCGAGCGGCGTCATCAGGAAAGGGAGACAGGCATAGCCCATATCCCCCAGCAGGACGCCGGGCACTCTGCTCTCCTCGAAAAGGGCACGCGCACGACTGCCATCAAAGATGCGGCTGTCGTGCACAGATCCTGGCCAACTTGCCACAACATCAAAGAACTGTAGCTGTGGGCCGGTGATGGCCTGCAGGTATATAACATTGCATTAATACGGCAATTTGGGCCAGTTGGCTCATGCTCGAAAACAAGTGAAACAACTGCCCCCCCCCCCCCCCCCCCCCCGGGGCTGGCTACGTGCCTGTTGCCCGTAAATAACGTCGCATATGCAAGCTAGGTATAGGCTGTGCAATGGCTATTTCGAGCGGGCCCAGAGGTGTACAATAAGCAGCAACAACACAGCTGATGAAAGGGTTTCCCTATGTTTTACAATGATCGGGTTGAACAGCTGAAATCGTTTTGCGTGAGCATTACCCATGCTTCTCAGCCTGGCAGTTTAGTAGGCAAGCTACGTCAATAAAGGGGGTATAAGAAATATGAGCTCACCTGGACGTTCAGGGAGAAGACTCCTTTCCTATTGCGATAAACTTCCGCATCATCTCCGCCGGGGCTTCTGATGCGCACGTGGGTGCAGTCGATGCAACCCGTGACGCCAGGAAACTGCCCCATTGCGTAGAAGTCGCACATAACGCCGTGGTACTCCGACGCAGCCGGGAAGTGCACCAGCCTTCGGAAGAGCACCCTCGCGATGAGCGTCGTCACCGTCCTCACTGTGCGGCAGACAGTCGGCTGGGAGACATGCACCAGGTCTCCCGCTACCATCTGGAAGGTCCCGGCGCCGTAAAAGCGAAGGGTGACCAGCAACTGGAGCAGGGGGGTGAGCGGCAGTCCTCGGTTGTCGCCGGTTTGCTGGAGAGGCAGCAGCGTCAGGAGTTCCCTCACCGTCGTCTTCGTAAAGCGATATCTCGCGAGGAACTGGCGGTCACTGTACAGCTCCATCGGGTTCAGGCGGTCCGATAGATTACGCCGCGGCACCGACGGACCGAGCGGGTACATAACGCCGAACACAAGGTCGCACGCACGAGTAGCGAACTGAAAAGACGCGATCCTGCGAGCGGCATCACTCCGATAACCCGGGTAACCCGCCATCTTTTGCGATGAAGGGAGGCTCGAGTGTAGTTGAAGGGCGGTGCCACCGCTCACTTGAATTTTTTCGAGAAAAGTCCGAGTGAAGTGCGAGGCGAGGGAGCGTTTCGAGTGAAGGGGGATTTATGAAACGTAATGACACCCACTCAAGGGCGTTGGAAGTTAAGTTCGAGTGAAGTGGGATCTATGAATTCGGCGGTGAGTGTTTCTAGCATGAGAAGCCTAGTGCCGGGACGGCAACTTCCTCGTGAAGGGGGATGGTGTGATGATCGCTAATACCGCCACGGCGAAGGAGAAGAAGCGCGCTCCGGGAGCGCGCGCCAGGGGAACGCGAACAGATATAAAAATGGTAGCCTAAGACCGAACGCTGTCGCTTCTTGGCCATCACGTCACACATGTATGTATATTTGCAGCGCAATCTCTTTGCAACGAGAGTCTATATGGTATAGGCGCGCCAAAAACTAAAACAAAACAAAAATCCACTGGTGTCACCGACCAGGGGGGCTATGTTGCGCTTTTTGCACTCCCAGGAGACTAGGGAGAGGGAAGTGACGTCAACGATACAGCAAACGCAGATTGGGTGTTGATTTCGTTTTCTTCTGTCAACATCCAATCTGCATTTGCTGTGTCGTTGACGTCACTTCCCTCTTCCAAGTCTCCTGGGAGTGCAAAAAGCGCAACATAGCACCCCAGTCTTCCACCATGTCTTCCCGAAATTCAGTGCCATCTGGTGGCTATAATGTCTGTGTAACTTTCGCCGTACTAATGGCGGCAATGAAAATAAAGTCTGCCGTATTTTATCGGGCGTCGTCACTTCTGGAAGTCAACGGCAAACAACAGTGTGCGCTTCACTGTACAATTCCTTCTCGATCTCTTTCAGTGACGAGAGAAACGAAGATGCAACCAGTCAGAACGAAGCGTCAACTCACGTACACGGATTAATAAAGTTCTGCAAATCAAGGGGCTTTGAAGCACCTTGATGCTGCCAATAGATTGGCTGGGCCCGAGCTAGAAATGAACACTTACGCAGATCTTGCTTTAAATTCCTGCTTCGCATCGTGCTAACGTCACGAATGTATAAGCCTCGAATTATCTACTAAGGAGCCTCTTCAACTTCTTCATTCGTCAGTAAACAGAAGGCCGCCATTAGTACGGCACATATGCCACTTTTTCAATGATGATGGTGATCAAAGTGGCCAGACTAAATTTCGGAACGGGTCTATTGTACCGAATAGTATGTACCTTTAATATAATTGTAAAACTGTAATTCCTTTAGTTAGAGTACGTTTATTCACCAGTGAACGGTGCTAATCTTCGCTATTTTTCAGGCCCAAAAATTTGGGTTACGTGGATATTTAAACGGCGTGTAGTTTGTCAGCGATTTCAAAGTTGAGACCAGTCACTCGCTGTAGATGAGCAATTTAACCAGTGCAGTACAACCGCTAGCCTGGGTCTCTAACGTGCAGTGCGTAGTAGCGATACACGACCGCACGCAAGTGCGACGCTCATCCAGATTGAAACTGGCAGGAGTGGGCATTGAACACATGATCCTGGGTTCTGCAGCGCGAGCTTTCACTCCACGTGCTCCGAGCTGATGTGCACTAGACCACTCGGCCGGTAACTGATCCCGCGGCGGCGTATGGTTCTCAATAAACGCCGTTGAATATGGGATAATCGTGTTCGGCATAGCGTTGCCGATCCCCCACGCAGCAAACAAGTTTGCCGGTAACCTTCGGCAGCGGGATGGGACGCTGGGCAGAAGGGTTGCTCCTGGACTCTAAAAAAAGTGAGTAGTACTTCCTCCCTTAAAGGAGGAAATCGCGTGTATCATATATTGCTCTAAAAAGGGAGGAAATCGCCTCCAACAAAACAGGAGGAAATTTCCTCCTCTAAGAAGGGAAGAAAGTTGCCACCTATTTTTGCTCGTGGACGAAACGTTCCTCCCAAAAGAAGGGAGAAAAATCGCCACCTTTGCTCGCCCAATGAAGGAAACTTTCTTCCGTTGTGTATTTCGTATAGCTTCCACCAGTTGGCGCTAAAGCAGAAAAACAAAAATGTTGGGGAAGTGCCAATTTCTTTTCCAATGCCTCTCACTCTTGAACGCTATATTGTCACGGGTGGTGACCAATAAACAAGAAATGAACAGGAAGAAATAAACGTTTAATGTGGCGCACTTGTGGCAAAATAAAAGGGTACAAAAGATAATAACAGAGCGTCGCGGGCGTCGAAGTCGGCCTAGCAGCAGAGTCGAACGCTGGGGCGAAACTGACTCCTGCTCGCCTTGTGGAATCCCTGATGTACCCTCGTGGGTTTCTGGATCGTTCGGCGTAGAAGGTTCGGCGCGTAGAATATTCTAACCTCGAATCAGCTGGACGGTTCTCGAATTCACCAGAACATCACATTAGAGTGTAAACAAAAATGCGTAGCCGCGGCCAGGAATCGAACCCTTGCCCTTCGCGTGGGAGGCAAGCGCGATAACCGTTAGGCTACGGCCGCGCTGCCTACTTGGCGCGTGGCATTACTCCCCGCTTGAAAAGTGCATCGCCCCGATGCAACACAAAACAAAACAAAGCACATAAAAAGAACGGCAAACTAACGAGTCATTTCAAACAGATAAGATTCACAGTCCTATCGAGCGTAGTACGACTTTAGGCGCACGACGTCGACGACTTCAGGGCCCATTTTTTCGAACACGAACCGTGGTTTAAAGTTAACTATTGTCCCTAGAAGGGGGAATTCCAGGTCACGTGACTGGGAGAGCAGGGGCGCCGAGGGAGGAGCAGTACCTAGAAGCAAAATGGCCGCGGCGTCGCTTAAGTTAATGGGGGCTAATAGTTCTGCTTGGTTCTGCTGAACATTCATTTCCATCTGGCTGTTATATTAATGACTCACCATCAACGCACTAGCACCTCAAGCAAAGCGATAGCTCAGGGGGACTACTAAGCTAACCGACGGCAGCATTCCGCGAACGCATCACTCTTCAGCAGTCCGGGATCCAAGACATATGACGGTACATAAGCCTTGCAAGTGTTTTTATGGTAAGTAAAGAAAAAAATATTTTGCGAACGAGTGTTGGCCCATATTTATACTAAGACGTTTAATTTGTTACACTATCCACGCCAGCTCGTGAGCAGTGATTACTTTGCGGAGAAAGGGGGTTATCCTCAATAAAGTCTTCGTTCCTGGTGAACAGCTGAGACATTGCGCTGTTTTTTTGTTCACAGTGCGCCGACAGTATGCCGACAGCATTGAGGTTTCTACATATCCCGGTGGCCAGCAATTCAACGGTGACGAGAATCTTAGCTTCTGGCAGTTTGATACTTTAGACCCAGGTTCCGGATAAAAAAAACAGGACGCGGGATGGCCAAAAAAACATGCTTTTCGTGCAAGGCTCGTCAATTTATGAGGCGCTGGAGAAATACAGCCTTCTGCGTTAAGTCCTTATTTCGAACTCTTTTTGTTCGCCTTCCGCCCATTGAAAAGCATGCGGGAAGGGCCTTAGAACGCACCTGGTATCGCTGCGGCGCAGCGTTCTTCCGCATCAAAAAGTTCGTCTGCTTTCCTCGCCGTCACCATGGCAACGAACGCCGAATGAATAGAAGCACGCACGGTACCGCCGCGTGAAGCTAGCAACAGCTGACGCCATTTTACGAACGCCGTCTGCTAGCCAAAGCCGAACGCGGTGTGTCAGATCAACCGCCTCCGCCGGTGCGCCGCTAGCAAAGACGACGAAGCTGAGACACGCCGACGGCGATCGAGCAAGCAACAACACCGCGGGACGACTGCAACGGCGGCATTTATTCGGATCAAAGGCCGGCTTCGCCGGTGCGCCGCTAGCAAAGACGACGAAGCTGAGGCACGCCGACGGAGAATGGGCGAGCAACAGCACCGCGGGACGACTGCAACTGCG